TATGGGGTGGACAACAACAGATGCATTTATATGGCTGGTTTGGAATTTTGAGGAATTAGATTTGAACCAAATCTTTTATGCTGAACAAACAAGAAATCAACAACAGTCACTGAAAGTCTGCAGAGAAAGTGGCATTGAGTCTCCTACCTTGTTCCAGCATTTTCCTCTCCATTTAAACAAATAATAATAACTAAATACACATGCAGGTTTTAATATTACAAGATAAATATTGAGGTTATTAATGTGGAAATAAAGTGAATCAGCAAGTATTTACATTAAAATAAATTATCAAGTGTAAACTGAAAAAGCCCACCAACTTATCACCTGTTGTATTTACTTTTGAGACCCAGTTGAGACAGCGGTGTTGAGTGACTGGGTGCCACTAAGGGCTGTTGCCTGGACTCTCAGCTGCTGGCCAGATCCATCTGCATATGTCATGTATTAAAATTGCATGCAGAAAACCTTCCAAAAAAGATCTTATTAAAAATGTTGTGACCCAATTAAAGTGAGTTAACAGTGACATACTTTTTCTGAACAAAAAACCCAACAATTCAGATTTAATATGCAGCAGAATCATGCTATCTGACAAAAACACTAAAAAAAAAAAAAAAAAAAGGAATTACATTTGAAAGAACTTAATTCTCAAAAATATCTGAAACAGTTTCTGTAGATCTATTCACTCTTTCTGGTAACACACAAAATAATTCTGAGGGGTTTTCCCTTTTTTAGCACTATCAGATTTTTCTCTATCTCAAAACACTTGTGGATAAGTTTTTGTATATATCTCTGTATTATGTTTTAACCAGATGCTCTAATTTATGAACACCTGGAAATGCCCAGCCATAACAAACAGGCAGTATAAATTAAAAAGTCAAGCAAAGCAAAAAAGAAATCAATGCAGGTTCTGCCAAGACTAGTTACATACGGGGGAAAAAAACGAAGCAAGCAAAAATTTATCCTGAGGAGCAAGAACATGAACTTGGCAATATACTATAATGACAAGGAGCTGCTTTATAATTGACTAATGGCCACTTTTAGATCTCAGTTTAATGGAGAGCTTCACTAGACAATGTTGAGCTTATCCAAAAACAATGGCATTGTCCAGCACAGATTTCTTTTGGGACTTAAGTCAGGTAAAATAGAAAGAAATCCAAAATAAGAAAAAAAATTATTTAACTTCATTTCAACAAGAAAATACATTTCAGTTAGCGTTCTCAAGATTAGTCAAATTTCACATAAAATATGAGAACGAGTTGCTAAAATATTTCTGAGGGATACTGAGTTTTCACTCCAGCATCTTATTCCTGACCAGAAGTAACTTCAGATATGTTTCAGGTACTACCTGTTTGGGAAAATACTGCAATCTCTATCTGTCCTCCTGAAGGAACGACATGGAAGTATTTCCTAAGTAGAACAAATGGAAATCTAACAGAAAGTGGTATGAAAAATGAAAACCACAAATCACAAATGTTATGATTTTAAAAGGGACAGAACGGCAATTCCTACAATCTCAGAGGGGTACAAAAAGTACGCGAGCAAATGGTATTTTTCATCTCAGTTGCACTGTAATGACCAATGGGAACTAAATACTTTAACTACACTAAGATTAAAGGAATTTGCTGCTATCACTATAGCAACCATCTTAAAGAAACTAACACGCTCAGCAACCTGAAGGCTAAATTTAGACCTAATACGCAATAAAAACATAAATACAACAATAAATCCTACATGTTTATTTCTATGAAACGCAATTGCTTTTTTCACAGTGAGCATACATCAGTCTCACCTTTAGAGGATTACATAAAAATAAATAGACTCATTAATGTCCAGTGTACTAATGAGCAATGGGTGAAGTAGGTGTTAATTATGCCACAGTAAGATCCAAGAAAAAAGACCGAGTGAGCACTTGGAGGTGTGTACAAGCTGAAGTCTCATCTCTATGTTTGTGTATTTCAAAGTACAACATGATGCAATCAGACGACACGGTCACCCCATATTCTACAATAGAAACTTTGACACAGTATTTTGAACAAAGAACTTCTAAGGATTAATTAAAAACAGTATAACCCCCATTCAGTTTCTTAGATTTTTATTACTAAGAAGTCAGTATTTCCCAACCAAACATTTTAAGCTTTCATTGTACCTGAATTACCTAATGCAGCACACATCTTTTAGTAAAAACTCCAGTTTCCAAGCTTCATGCTAAATTCCCTTTCTGAAAAGACATTAAAAAGTTGAACAAAAGTCTATGCCATTGGGATGTTTTCCAGAAATATGAAGATAGAATTTTTTTTTAAAGGCACTTCCATTGTGCAACTCTTTTACCACTCTGACCATTTAATTTTTCCTTGTGTAAGTGTCTTCAGACTTTTCAGAGGTCATTTCAACAGCAGACAGCTTATAACAAAACCATTAGCAGTTTGGCTAGCTTAAGGAAACCTCTTACTTTCCTTTTTTGTTTATTATCACTGCATGAATCTGCAGCATATGAGAGTTTATAATTTCTCATGCTTGTTAAATTCATGTTAAAGGTCTGTTTTCTTGTTGAATAAATTTTGTTCATATAATGCTGCCTATTTCATATACTGAGTCTTTAATAGCACCTTTGGTCTATGCGCAACTCACAGATCAAAACAGAGGACTAAAATAGGGGTTGATGATGCTATTTACATGTGTGATTCCTGCTGTCTTCTTGTTAGTAGCTTTAATATAATAGAAGACCTTGTCTGTTTTGTAATTAACACATCTTTACTGGAGAGATATTTGGAAGTGATTGCTGTGAATATACTGGTTAGTAAAATAAACACAATCACACACCACTTTCTGTTATCAGACAAATTTGTGAATTGTACACATTATACTCCAGATCAACAAACTGTGATATAACAGCCAAGTAGAAGACACATTTATATAACCCTTTATTTTTCTGAAAATATGTATTCAATCTGACCTTGCAAATATAATTAGCTTGTGGGATGTGTGGATTTCAGTACCATGGATGCTTTACTAATTGCAGCTCTTGGAAATAGATACTAAATATTTGGAAGCTGCCAATACAAAATAAAAACTGCATCTTTTTGTACATCTGTCTTAGCTTCAAAATGCATAATAATCTAAAAAACAATAACTATACAGCATTTTTTTAGCATTCGCCTGGGATCAACAGTCCATATACTGTATTTTTAGAAACAAAATTTACACTTATCTTGAGTGTAAATTTCAGTACAGCTATAATTAATATGATTCAAAGTTACTCACAATC